GATGGTCATCATGTTGCCCTTGTAGCTGGGGATGCCATCTGTCTTGAGCTTGGCGATGAGGCCAGTGTACTTGGTGTCCTCGAACAGCTTGCCTACCTTCTTGTTCTCCTCCGAGTTCATCTGCACATTGTGCTCTGTGAGACCACATTTACAGTTTCGGCAGATTTTTCTGCAGAGGAGAAGGAGAGGAAATATATGATATAATTATATCATATAATTCATTTTTAGTGTGAGAGAGGAAAAGATTGTGCATGTATGTGTTGTAGATGTACACGGCCTCAAGTTTAACACATTTGTAGAAAGTGATTTATTCCTATTGTGGCTTTTGTAGTTTGTTCGACACCTCTGGGCCACCGTATGAATAAGCTTCACATTCCTTATACTCTCTTAACTGATTAGATTATATTAGGAAACAAACTGAAGAACACAACAATTAAAATCTACTACAGCTTTGTTACAACACTATATAAGTTCTCCAAAGCTAAGTCTTCAAAAAAAATGCACTTTTCACATGCCTCAACACAACTAGCTTCATATTTGAGTACCTATGACATAATTTATGACTGCTGGGCACGCTTCAGCTCGACCTGGATTTCTCTCGGCAGTGTCATACCGTTTAAACAAGTCAAAGTTTGATTCTTATAGGTGAGAACAAAAAGCAATAATGACAAAGTTTATATTCAGGAAAAGTCTAAACTTCTCAATACCATCATTTTGAAGTGGTGCATGACTTCGTCTTTAGTAAAAGCTGAGGAAAAAAACAACCTAAAGTCTTGTTGAAGAACAAAGTTTAGGTAAAAAGATCATTCTGTACAACCTATACTTTTCAAAACCAAGGATCACCTATTAACTGAGAAAGACTGATTCTTAAACTAAAAACCTTAAAAACTTTTGTTATATATCGCGTATACATTCAGTCAAAACACATCAAAACACACTGTGTGTATCCTTGAGCTCTAACAGCTGTGTTGAGTGCATTTCCTTGTCCTCTCCTTCTCCTCTGTCTTTGCTAACCTTTGATGGTAATTAAATATATTCAAATTATGAATATGCCTTAAACTCGGTGGAAAACCCTTCCATGTGAACAGTATGCAAGCAATGCCTATATATGCATATACACTACAGTATACTGTAGATCCCTACACATTCAACATGC